TTCAAGCCTAGATGGTCTCTGAGGGCTTGTCCTTTTCTTAACTGGTCTTCTGTCATCTGTTACTAAGCAAACTGAAATGCAGTTAGAAGCTAAATGAATTTCGGGCCTCCTGCCTGGCAGGCTTCTGGATTATATGTGTGTTGTAAGCGTGTATGCTGTTCATCCTTCTGTGCTCCAAGTCACCTACACAATAGATTGTGACGACATAGCGCTTCACAAAGCTTAAAACCTTCTTTAATAGGCTGAGCATCAACTCTGAATGAGCACAAACATGCAATGTGTATAAAATAATCATAGCTGCACCTGGAATAAAAAGGTTAACGTGGTGGCTATAGCTTTAATAAACCTCTTTAATGCAATATCAAGGCTGCAGGGTATATTATTAATGCAATTAATAGTGCAGGTTATATTGTAGCAGTAAAATAATTTCTGTATCTCCACACTAACTTCATGTTTTATGTTGTATTCTATTGCTTTACATCGCTATAGTATGTTTTCTAACATTTTATTTCGAAGCACTGGGTCATTATCTGTGAATTACTTAGTCACTATACAAAAAGAAAAGGAATAAGACTTCTCAGAATGTTAATTTAAAAGCTTTAGAATAATTTTAATATTTTCCTCATTTCTTTTTCTCCTGATAATGCACCTTAACAAATGGAAGTAGAGGAATCTTCTATTATATATGTTTTGGACATCGTTGGCTTTAGGTCTGGTAAATAGTGCACATTCATATACTGCTTACATATTTTGTGCTCTAAGAACAAACCAAAACCAGCGAGTGATGTCACAGTGATTGTGTCCATCTTTTATATACAGTCTGTGGATATATCCTGGTTTTAATGCCTCTGACAGCTTGTCATGAAATACAATGTGATTAACGTGGTTTTGTTTTAGAGCAGCGGCCCCCAACCCCCGGGCCTCGGACCGGTCCGTGAGTCGTTTGGTACCGGGCCGCGAGAGTTGAGGCTCAGGTGTGAAATGTGTGGTTTTCAGGGTTTTTATCGGTTTTAAACGTTAACTCGGTTTTCACGTTTGTTATGGTAAAAGTGGTAAATGGCCTGCATTTGTATAGCGCTTTACACTACATCCAGTCATCCAGCCACTGGTGATGGCAGCTACATTGTAGCCACAGCCGCCCTGGAGCGCACTGACAGAGGCGAGGCTGCCGGACACTGGCGCCACCGCCACCACCAGTAGGCAAACACGGGGTTAGTATCTTGCCCAAGGATATTTGCCATGCAGCCAGGAGGCAGCCTGGGATCGAACCACCGACCTTCTGATTAGTGGCCGACCTGCTCTGCCACCTGAGCTACAGCCACCCCAACGAATAAATCACGAATAAATCTTCTTTTTTCGGTACCGGTACTAGTTTTATTTTGCTGTATTTATCCGCGACACCTTAAAGGCCGGTCCGTGAAAATATTGTCGGGCATAAACCGGTCCGTGGCGCAAAAATGGTTGGAGACCGCTGTTTTAGAGGACTGAGGGACCTCCAGGGTCAAGAGGGTTGCTTTTTCTTTTTGTAAAGAGTCACACGGTGTGCTCGGGTGCTTGAAAATCTTTTCATCTTCACCAAAGCCCTCTGTTGGTTTGAGCTCAGTCTAAATGTGTTTGTGGTTTTCCGTTTGAACCCTGAAAGAAAAATGAAACTTCCACTCGCCGAGCTAATTTGCTTCATAATGACTCTGCCGGGGATGCAGTTTCAACAAAGAAAAGTGGCCTTTCGCAGAAAAACACAAAGCATCTACATGGGGACCGAGCCCCCTCCCGGTGCCCCCCGTTGATCCCAGCCAGGTTGTTTTGCAGCTGAGCTCTAATGAAACTCTGAGTCTATTTTGGTTTGTGCGACATGCAAACATTCGGGTGCCTCGGGCTGCACGCTGATCACAGTTCACAGGTTTTAAACAAGCGAGAACACGAAGACGACAAGTGTTTCCTGTCATCGGAGATTTACGCATCTGAGAGTGGAAACAGGATCAAACAATCAAATGTGTCTGTGCAGACAAACGAGCTGAAAGCACACGAAAGGATCCCAGACCGGCCCCGTCTCAAAGTGATCGACACGAAAGCTCGTGAAGTTTCATTTGAGGTCACGCAGGTTACACTTTCTTTGAAACTACTGATTATGTGTCAAATTCAGAACTATTGCTGCAATATGACCCAAATAATACTTTTTATTCTGTATTTAATGAGATTACAGTCGTATCGCTGTGAGATCTGGCTGTTACAATAAGGGAAAAGTTAATAGAGTTATCAGTCATCGCTGTACTTGAAAGGAGAGATGGCCCAGCCAGATTTATTGTAATAAAATGTGTGGACAGCAACATGAGCCCACAGTTTTATGTCTCTATTGTTTTATAGTTTAGAAAATGATTTGCCAAAGATGAGTGCTTCCAGTTTTCTGCAGACTGCACGACCTGACTCTGGAAGTTGGTTTCTGCCACCAAAATATGAAGTCGATAATAGTTTTGTGTTATTTTCTCACAAGCTGGAGTCAATAAGTGGAGATAATAACCTGTTAAGTTTTGAATCGTGATGATCTCTGTCAGTGCCTGCACAAAAATCTCAACTGTAGCTCAACACAACACAACCAAGTGCAGCACAATGAAAACACTGACCCCGGGTTTAAAGAGGACCAGAATGATCCAGAACAGAGTCAACGACTAATTAAATCTGACGGGTACTTCAATACAAAAACACACGCAGAGTTCATTTTTCATGATCTGCAGCCTCACAAACAGCTGATGTCATGGAGATATAAAGTCAGAGCAACAACGTTACTCTTACTGCAAATTTTTAATTTCTTTATTATTCCTTTATCATCCAACCAGAGTCAGAGAGGAGTCTACCCCACCCACCACAGGGCGAGAGGCGGGGTACACCCAGGACAGGTCACCACTGAAGTACCATAAAATCAAATCAAATGAAAGCATCCTTACAATAACTCTGCAGTGCTGTTTGAAGTACTTTTACGTTGCGCCATTGCTGCACTTCAAACTTGTCCTCAGAGCAAACATCAAATTCTCTTTCAAACTCTGAGGCTGTGGAAGTCTCCTGCATACTCGTAGAATAAGACGGCGGCACAGAAGCCAACCAGAGTGCTGCTGTGCATGTGGTCAGCACTGACATGGACTTCAGATGTAGAATATTTTCACTCCCTCACCTTCCCCAGACAGTTCTAATGTTACGCTCTTTAAACGCCATCAGACTTTGGCAGGACGGAGTCTGGAGGCTGCCTCATGGAAGAGAGGAGCTCCGCCTCTTTGGCTACATCCACACGTACACGGGTGTTTTTGAAAACACGGAGTTTCCGTTTTTGTTTTTTTGTTTTTTGTTTTGTTTTTTTAAATCCCGTCCACACGTGCAGTTTTGAAAAATATCTCCGTCCACATGTTAACGCCAAAAACAAAGTCAAACACTGTCGAGAACATGCCAAATCCTAACTGTGTAGAAAGGTTGGCCAATCAGAAGTCTCGAATCCTGGGAGGGAAAGACTAAACAGGGTTTTGTGCCGCTGAAAAGGTTAAATACTAATGAAAAAGTTGTTGTGTTTTTCTGGGATGGCAGCTCATTTTGTGTTACTTTTCCGATGCCTTCATCATTTCAAATGTTAATAACTAAAAACAGTATTTTGGCTGGTGTAGACTCACAACTTAGGAATCAATAAAACACATATAGCATGCATAAATTTAATTTTCTAAAATTTAATTTATTCAAAACCGACGACGCCGTTGGCAGATAGATTAGCAGCAGCAGTATTTTGTCTCCATTGTAGAAATTCATCTCATGTAACCAACAACGTGGCCCAAAACGTGACATCAGAAAAGGCGTACACCTTTGATGTGGCGTGACTAAATCTCCTTTTTCACGTAAACGCAAAAAAGACGTTTTCAAAAATCTCAGTTTTCAGTGAAAACGCCGTTTACCTGTGGACGAAAGGCGCAAACGCTCAGAAAAATCTGCGTTTTCAAAAATCCCGGTGTACGTGTGGGCGTGGCCTTACTCAGCTTTGATACTGCTGTGTTCACTGAATAAAATTAAGTAACCGATCAAGGCAGCAGTGGAAGAGCAACCCTTACATTCGGTTTCTTGTATTTAAAAAATGCTCAGTTATAGCGAACGTTTAAACAGATGATCTTTGTAGGTGGGATAAACCTGTCTCCTCTCAGCAAGAAGGTCCTGGGTTTGAATCCATGTCTGCATAGATTCTCTCCTGGTGGCCTGACATCCTCCCACAGTTTAACTGCTTCTTGCCTAATAACACACACACACAGTCCTGTTTTTATATCTCTGTGGGGACATCTAATTGATGTAATGCTTTACCTAACACCTAACCCTAAAAACTGACTGCCTGACCCTAACCCTCAGCCCTAAACCCAACCATAACCTAATTGTACCCCTGACACTAAAACACCATGTTGTCTCAAAAACGCCTTCACACTCTTGGGGACGCTCGTTTTGTCCACACGAGTAGAGTCACATTCCAATTCCTGTAAACATGCTGCAAACACGACCCTGAACTGAAAAGATGGATGCATGTGTAAAATCCACATTGCTGCTGATTTGTTCACAGCAGGACTTTGTTTAGCTTCTGTACCAGTATTCCTGAATTGGCTTCTCCAAACCGGCAGCCTGCTGTTACCATCAGCTGTGGGAAATCTACAAACTCATTACAAAATATCCAAACTAAGACTTGTTTATCTGTTTAATCTTCACGATTTCTTCATCTTTTATTCGTAATCTGTTTTTCCCTTGCTTGTAAAAATCAAGCCTGTGCACGCTTACGGTTCATTTTTGACGTTACGTACAATCAGCATGCACAAGATGTCTCGCAGGCATTTAGAAAATGTCCTCCTTGATAACTGTCTGCTGGAATGAGCACCGGCGCCTCTGGGGACCGCTGGCAGGACTTTCAAACACATCAGTGATGTTTCCCGTGATGGCGTCACGTCGTTTGTTTGCGTGTGTTTAATCTAATGTGTGTCTGTTTGTTTCAGGTCCCTGCTGAGCCCAGCGCTGTCAAACACTTGCCACACTCTACAGCATCAGAACAAGGTAACACGCGCACATGCACATACACATTGTGCGCCTTCACAAGCCCCTCACACGGACCAAACTAAATGAGTAACTGTAACCAGAACCCTCAAACGGTCCTTTGAAGCTCCGCCCCAAAGTGAGTGAAGACCGAAAACGTCCTCACGTCCAAGGTTGGTCCTCACAAAGACATATGTGCCGCTGTGCACTCAGACGCACTCAGGACCAATTAGTTCTTGGTGTGTGATGAATTCGTCACCGTGTGCCTCCTGCGGCCAGGCTGCTACAGCTGGTCAGACGCAGCATCCATCACGAGAACCAACAAATAACTGAGCCGTGCATGTTTCTCATCTGTAACCATGGTTACATTTGGGTGCATTTTATTTGAAAAAGCTTTTACGTGGCCGGCGGCGTTGTGATGCGCTGTTGTGTGCCGGCGACGTGCAAGTCTCTGGATGTTTCAGTGCTCTGCTGGTTTTCATGTTTTAATACGTCTGTCAGAGCAGCCAGAGGTCAAAAGGTCAAGCCGCGCTGCAGCTAACCCGCTAACTGATTAGTTCAGCCCGCTGCTGGCAACAAGGCTGACTGCGGGAGACACACACACACACACACAAACACACACTCACACGCTCTGCCAAATGATGCCAGAGGCCCAGTAGGCTGCAGCATGCCATTACTCTCTCTCGGTGGATCTTGTTTCTGAGGCGCCTCAGTGGCTCCGTCCCTGCAAAGCTGGAAACACTCCCATTCTTCTTCTTTACCTTCCTCTGCTCCCAAAGTTGTTTTTTTAATGTTTCTGCTGTTTTATCAAAGCTATATTATCCATCTTTAGTGCAAAACTCAAAGCTCTATTAGCATGTATAGAGATGCCCTGAAGCCAGCACTCTCTGTTTTCATACGAGTGTCTTAAAACGTTGGAAGAAGCAGGTCTGGGCATTTGCCAGAGTTTTTTTTGCTGGCAGGAAGCTCACAGCAGGAGATGGTCTGCGACAAACGTGGTCTCACTACTGGAAATACTCCATCTGGTTTGGGCAAGAGAGCCTCGCTGCCTAAGATGTCATGGCAGGTTAAACAGCAGAAAGCAAACCTGTTGTTGGAAGATTAAAAAAAAAATCTCAAAATTAAAGCAAAACTGAAATTCAAAAAAAGGTTCACAACATGAAAAACAAGTGAATTATTCAAAAAGTCTGCAGAGTTAGACGTTAAAGACGTCAGCCCGATGTTTGGATCACATATCAGTCCACCGAAGCTGGAACGGATAGTCGACGTAACGGCAGCGTGACGTGCTGCTGACACGGCAAGTGAAGTTTATGCAGATAGCAAATAGCCCCCCCCCCCCCCGAAAAGTAGGAGAAAGGACAGATAAGATAACTTTATTGTCATTGCACAGTCATACATAGCCCAACAGTACAATGAAACTGGAAAACTGTCCCACATCGGCACTACCTGCAACACAACACAGTAACTTAACTTAAGTAAAGAAGAATAAGTATGTTTATTGCAGCTTGTTATAAATGTAAATATTAATATTGTTCTTGTTGTTACACCCCAAACAAGTCCAGGGAGGCCAATCAGGTCAGCTGTTAGCACTGATTAGGGCTGACAGAAATAATAGGAAAAATAATAAATAATTAGTTACAACAAAAGTAACGACAGTTACAATGATAAAGATGGTGAACCCATCGGACCTAAGGATGGTATCGTTACTGATTTCTAGAATCGATTCGATTCGATTTGAATCGGGGAAATTTTGCCTCAGACAGTCAGAAATATTATAATTCTGATCATGCATCAGTACATTTCCATATTTTTATATTTATAAAAAGAAAGCTGACACTTGTGAGACTTTATCAAAGGTGTAAACATCACAGCAGAGGCCTTTGTGTCAAAGTAGCTGAGGATGAAACAGAAAAACATGAAGGAGATTTTCCTGGCCTGAGATTTTATACAAATATTCTGCAGTCGATCAAAAACGAAGGAAAACCATTAATCAACATATGAACATGACCTGATGCTGCTGAGGTGAAGCAGAGCAAAGTTACAGAGGTTTGATTACAGACACAGCTGAGAGTTTTGCAATTTTGCACAACTGTAAAAATTTTAATTTTGTTCAGTATTGAACGGCAGAAATTAGGTTTTCTTTTTGGAAGTACAGTGGGGCAAAAAAGTATTTAGTCAGCCACCGATTGTGCAAGTTCCCCCAC